CAATAAATAATGTTGTGCATTTTTCAAAAGTTATGTCACAATAATTGATTTTAATTAATTTGCAATTTAAAATACTATAGAATTTATTTTAGTAATATAGACATGAAATTAATTGACAGAAAAGGTTACTTTAGAATAACTGATCTCAGAACTAAAGAAATATATAAAATATTGAAATCCATTAAAAAAATTAAAAACTTAGCAACTTTTTTTAATGAGTCTAGAAAATTTTGAATTGTTAACATATGAGTTTTCTTTTAAATTAAAAAACTTACTGTTGCCAAACAATCTGCTGGATTATCCATTGAGATACTTTAAGACTATTAAATAATTGAATATAAATCAATGATACGGTTAAAGAAAGGCAGTTATGCTACCATATTATGGTAAATTTAATAATTAGAAATAAACTAGTTATGTAACACTGTATCAGCATGGTAGTCGGAGCGAGGCTGTTTAGACTCATGGATGTGGATCATTAATAAACTGAAGAACTGAACTCAATTTGTCCAGATGTATGCTATAATACAACTGACTGAAACAGTTCAAGTTTGTATTTAGATAAAAGTTTGAAAAATGTGCTGTTTTGAAAATGAAATGGTTAAAAAATATATATATTTTTTTTTTAACAAAATGTTCATAATCTTCTTCTACTTCTATTAATTAAAATATTAGCTGTTCTATTAATATAATTATTGATTAGAATTTAAAATTTTTTGGGATATTCCAAATATGAGAGATAAGTCTCTCAAAAGTGCTTAATAGTATTTAAATTTCTTAGGTATATGCCTGAAGTCTTTTGTCATGACTGAAGTCCAAGCATACAGTCTACAAAATTAAAATATCTCCTTAATGATTGTTAAGTTTTTAAAAATTTTTAAAATATATTTCACATCCTAACTTCAACATAATTTATACATTACTTATTCTTTATAATAGTTCTCTCTGATTTAATCTTCATAAATAAATAACTATAATTTGTGTGTTAGCTGAAGTTAAGGAAAAATATTCAAAAGTGTTACAAATATTTAAGTGTTTTAGCTCTTTAATAACAGTTTAATTTTCTTATAATTTTTTAAATAAAACTTAAAAGTATATATAGTTCCAAGAAAAATTCAAAACTCAGACGAAACTTTTTCTTCCAAATTTTTTCATATTTATATCTTCAGTATATATTGTTTAAATTTTTAAAATTGACTAGAACTAAAAAATAAAAAACATTCATATATCAAATTGTTATATACTGAAGATATAATAAATTTAGAGAAAGTTTTTGAAAAAAAAATTCTGTCTGGGTCATTCTTTCTTTGGATGGACATGTGGTTTATATATTAGGCTTTATATTTTAAGTGCTTCTTGTTTATAACAATTTAACTTAGTGAGTTAGTTTACAAATAACGGAGTACTAATTCTAGTTTTATTAGTATTTTTGCATCAATTAATCTACAATTTTATCAAGTGAAGTCCTTAGTATGCATATTGTTAAAGCAGCATGCTAAAAAAACATCAACTTATTTTTTTATCTAATAAAATGATTTTATATTAAAAAATATTAATAAATTTTTTTCAACAGGGGTGGTAATTTTATATAAAAAAAAATATTGTTTTGAATTATATTATCCAATTAATAGTAGATAATTAATAAAAAAAAACTTAAAATTTTCACATTAAGAATTTTTAAAATTTCTATTTAAATTACATACTTATTAGAGATTTCTGTAAGCAAAGACTTATTAATAGGTTTTTCTAACGAACAATATTACACCTGTTAAATATTAGAAATCTTTTAATCAAATGAATATTTTCTTAGTGTTTTAGATAATAAAGAAAGTAACAAAATAAAAAAATTGGAAGTTCAAACAGTTTTTAAATCACAGCAGTTTCTAAGCCAGTTTAAATCAAAGATATTAAAACAGGAAAACAAAGAATATACTTATGTCTTTGATTACTTTCAAAATAGTTAATAAAGATATTAATGTATTAAAATGAAATAAATAAAAGAAAATTGTAATAGATAGTTATCTGTTTACAGTGTAGAAAATAGTTCAAACACTGCAAGGCTGGAATATCTGAAGATCTCCTATGCAGATCAAAAGCATTTGTTTTTATTTGCATTAAACTATGCTGGAATTTCATTTGTAAGGTTCAGAGATTTGCATTTTTTAGTGCAGAAAATTTTAAATAAGTTCAAATTCAAAACAATTTTAAGTATATTAAACAACATAAAGCCCAATAATATGTAGATACATAGCCAAACAATCACCTTACAAACTTAGGCTATAAATCTGCTATTTTTAATAATTAATACTAAGTAATTTGCTACTAGAGGTAGACATTAGGCACCATTTCTTATCTAAATTAATAATTACAATTTAAATAATTTATTAAATAATTTTTAATCGTCTAAATTTATAATATTTAGAATACCTCTAGTAGCAAATTACTTAATATTAATTATTAAAAATAGCAGATTTATAGCTTGAATATTTAAGGCAATCATTTGGCTATGTATTCAAAACAATTTTTCTATATTTCCAATAAACTACAGAAACAGAGAAATTGTTGGCATCCAATATGATAAAATAGCCTCAAGTTATTTAAATAAAGTGAAATTATGAAAAAAAATGCTTTTTTATGTATTCTGTAAAGTTTGGAAATAATTATTATATTTATGTAAACATTCAAAGCAAAATAAAAAAATCATGCTAATAATAATATAGTAAAATCTGTTTTAATTTATTAATATTGCATAAAACTGAGATTTAATTGTATGACTAAAAACAGAAATAATATAATATAATTTATTAAACTAATTATATATATATATATATATATAAGTATATTTTAATATATTTTAGTCTGATTATTAAATCTCAACATATATTTGGTAAAATGAGATTAAATCACTAGTCAGACTTCTTGTCTAACTTCTGTCAATGTCAATAATATTTTATCATTACAACTTTCATATATTTATCTTTTGAAATGTGTTTATTTGAATTTGTTATAATTGCTTGAATAATAAATTTAAAAATACATATTTTTTCCTACTTATGTAATGAGGAAATCTTTAATAAAGCTCAAAAGAGATTAATTATATATAATATGAATTATTCAAATACAGTTAGTAAAATCATAAATTGATATACATATAATAAGAATATATATATAATAAGAACATTTTTGAATAATAGTTTTAATTTAGTTAAAAAAAATTAAGTTTCAGGAAATTAATTGTAACATTTTTAATTCTAATGACAACTTAGAAAAATATCAATTATATTATTATATTTATGCTATAATTAGAATAAAACCTATGTACTGGTAAAATGACATTTAATATTCAATAACAATATTCTAAAAACAATTAATATAATAAAACTGCATATGCAAATATCCTGAAGTTCTAATAAAGAATCAAATCTTATGTAGAAGTGATGATGTTTATATAAATGGCATAGAATTTGATTACTTGATACTTAATAAAGTTCAAACTGATTGAATTATTTAAAAAATACATGAACTTAAATATAATGAACTAATTAATTTATTACAAACACATTTTCAGATTTGATCAGATTTAAAAAGTTTTCAATTAAGATTTTAAATATAAAAAACATATCACACTTTAAACCAAATTCTAATTTGTTTAGTTCCAATGTTACAGAATAATTATATAAACATCTAGTACTAGAGAAAAAGTATAAACATCTACACTAAGTTCTTAATGAAAAAGAAAAGTTTAAAGAAACATACTGCACAAAGTATGTTTCTTTCAACTTTAAAAAAACAAACTACAAAGTATACTAATACTTCATATTTTCAAAATTTAATTCAAACAATTGTTGATAAAGAATCATCCGTCAAAATACACACATAAATTAAAACTTTATTAATTTAGAATTACAAATTTAGTATGCACAATCATTGTTGTCTCTGTACCAATTAAAACAATAATTATTTCCTATAATTTAATATTACAAATCTATATTCAAGATATATAATTTCAATAAATATGCTTAATCTGCATGAATAGTAATATAATTATACAATAATTGAATGTTAGAAAAAAATATTTTAATTTGAAAATTAAGTATACAAAAATTTTAAACAATAAACAAATGGCAATGCCAGTACATATAACGTTCAAATTATTATATTTATTAATCATAAAAATTTTTAAAAATAATAAGACGACAGAATTGCACTCCGTATCCAATCTAAACAGCACTGCCATTAAAGGAAATCACACAGTTTAAAAGGACATTTTTGTTCAAGTCCCCTACAGAGTACCTCCATCACTTATTTTTTTTTTAATTCAAAAAAAAATTTATCAAACTAAAATAATACTTGCTAAAAAAACAAAAAGATATTTTAATTTTTAAAAAATATCACAAAGAGATTCAAATACTAAATCCTTATTAAGTTTATATTCATTGGGTACAAGGTCTTTTATAAGTTAAGGATATAGCATGGGTCTTTTAATACTCCTGCCTAAAAACCTATTGAACAATAACTGAACTTATAGCCTTGGGATGATGTCAAGGTTTTAAATGATGACTCAAGTTTTGGATATTTCATTGAACTAAACAGAAAGAAAAAAGTGTAATAAATGGATTAACTGTGTGGGATTGAAGAATGTTTCAGTTAAAATATTATATATAAAAGTAAAAAAAATGGAAGCGTCAAATGATTTAGTTTTGCTTATACATTATCATTCAATCTATCAATCAAATATATAATTTTTTTTTTAATATATATTTTCCATCTCTAAATAATCCTCGCAACATAATCCACTATTGTGTGTTTGTACGATTATTGGCATTTTAAAAATTCAACAATGATCAAACATCCGTTCTAATGCATTAAATGCCATCACAAGTAGGCTTAGTGTTATCACTTATTGACAGTTAATTCCGTTAAATATAAATAATCGTACGGTCGTATAGATGATTAATAACGAAAAGTAGATTATTTAGATAATGTATAATCCGATTTACCTTTAAACTGTTGAGATCAATGTCGTCTAAACTGCAATTGACACTCGGTTGGGTCAGCGCCATTTTCCCAATGGGGCGACGATCCCACAAACAACGAAACAGACGATACGATTCCGGTTCTTCTTCGACGACTAACCTCTATGACCAACAACAAATTCCTTATCCTTGGCAGGAACATCCAAATTTTGTCACTGGATAAACATCTTTGTGGTCAAACAACCAACAAAATGTAAACGGTGATGACGCACCCAACATCACCAAATTATCACCACCCTTCCGTGCTTCCTCCCCCTTTCCTCTGCTTCACTTTTTTTTTTTTTTTTTTTTAGCCCCCTCTCAGTAACTGATCTATCAAAAATGTCGTACAATAAATTTAAAAAATGATTAAATATTTTAAATGTTTATATTATTTAAAATAAATAATTAATACTAATTTTATTGTAAGCGAATCGTAATTTTAATTTTTATAAAATTTTATTATACAGCGCGTAAATTTTGAAAAGATGGCGTTTAAAATAAATCAAAAATTAAATTTAGACTATGATTTTAAAAAAGAATAGTTATTTCTATTCATAAGTTGTATAAATCAATAAAATATTTCTGCTTTTTTTTTTAACTTTAACAAATCTTATACGTAATTCCGTACGTATAATAGGCTTGTGTATAAGGTTATAAGCGCGGTTTTTAATTAATATACATATTTCTATTGTAAATTTTTGAGAAATAGTTATTATACTTACTAACTTTTAAAAAGTTATTTGGCATTTACAATTCTAGAAATATATTCCTTAAATAAATTCTATAACTTATCTTTCATTGTATAATAAAATGCACGGTACATAAATCATCGCAATGAAGGATAAAAAGTGAAAATATAGTTTCCTTGATGTTTATGAAAATTATATGTTATAAATTTGCGAAATAGGAAAATGTAAAGGAAAAATTATAATTTAATCTTCTCATTTATAATAGCACAAATTAATTATAACAGATGTTCTCGTTATTGGGAGAATCCCGGATTGATTCTCGATGATCCCCGCTTAAGTTTTGTAATGGTCGATAATTTAATACAAGATATATTATTGAATGAATTTCAATTAAATTTATTGCGTAATTTGCAAGTTGAATAATTCTTTATAAAATAATTTTTATAATTTTGATGCGTTATAAGCAAAGAAATGCAAAAACGAGAACCGATATTTACTCCTTGCGACCGATCCCGTAAACATAACCGATCGCATAGTGTAAAAAAGAAAAAATACACAAATACATCTAAATATCAAAGTCAAACTGAACTCATTCATTATCAATTTTAGTTTCTAGACTCTACTTAAATTTTATTTTCAATAAAAATTGCATTTAACCAAAAATAGTACAAATCGATATCAAAATCATTTCCGAAAAATCGATTTTCTTTATTATTCAATTTAATTTTGGGAAACAAAATATGGAATAAATACGTATATTTTAATATAGAGAAAATATTTACCGTAAAATAAATTAAATACTAAAAAAATAATAATAATTAATTGAAATACTCCAGCGAAATATATATGTAAACGAGAATTTTAGAAATAACTAATCTTAAAATTGTTAAGAATATTTTATATTAATGTTCATAGCGTGCCAAGGATTTAATAAATTTGAATAACAAAAATTTATAACTTATCTCGTACGTACTGAATTGTTAAAAATAGAAAATGAATACTAGTAGAACAAAATAAACTTAAAAATTCAGTTTGTAATTATTGTCGCTAGATGGCAGCAGATTCGATTTTTAAGTTATAAATGACTCAATTCGTTAGCGGATGTACACAGTACGTCCGTTTTAGCATCGTTTATACGCGCATTGGTTACATATTTTTGAAGAAAATTTACATAAAAAATTAATTCTGTCTTTAAATTGCTTGTATAATTAATAGAAAGTCAATTAGGAATACTAAAGCGAATATAGACATTTATTTCTGTAGTGAGATAGTATGAGGTGCACAATTGACTTTTATTTTATTTTCAATTTTGAATATCTTACGTAGTTTAAAATCAAATTTTTATCCGTTTTAATATTATTAATATACGCACCTTTCATATTCCTTCATAAAAAATTTCAAAAACAATTAAATAAATTAGAGATCCGTACAATTCCTTTAACTTATAATCAGGGCCATCGAGGGATTTTTCTCGGAGCACGGAAAAAATTTAGGGATTTATAGTGGTTCCTATCCCTATAAAATTAATACAATTCTTACTAACAGAAAGTAAAATCTTATTAATAAAGAACTATGTATTTCGTTTATTTAAAAAAAAAGAAAAAAATGGCTAAAACGGCCACTCTGTCCTCGTGACCCACACAAATTCTCGAGGGCCCTACATTTAATTGAATTTATGTATTAATTTAAGTGTATAAAAGGGTTATTGTCAGTGATTTAAAACCGAAATTTTACTTTTGTTTAATTTTTTTAGCCTTAACAAAATATCATATCGAAATTGTTATCAATAACTACATGATTACACTTTTGTCTCCATAATCTGATAAATTATTCGATTGTTTGTCAGTCCCTTAAACTTTTTCTTGTTCGATATCAGGAACATAATTTCCGAAGGGACTGATAACATCATTATGACTTTCTTCGTATCGATTGAATGGCCACGAATATCGAAAGATTTATAGAAATGAGGCCAAGGTTTCTACGTGATTTTTCAAGATAAAATAGAAAAAAATTATTTATTATTATTTTTTTTTTAATATATATTTTCCATCTCTAAATAATCCTCGCAACATAATCCACTATTGTGTGTTTGTACGATTATTGGCATTTTAAAAATTCAACAATGATCAAACATCCGTTCTAATGCATTAAATGCCATCACAAGTAGGCTTAGTGTTATCACTTATTGACAGTTAATTCCGTTAAATATAAATAATCGTACGGTCGTATAGATGATTAATAACGAAAAGTAGATTATTTAGATAATGTATAATCCGATTTACCTTTAAACTGTTGAGATCAATGTCGTCTAAACTGCAATTGACACTCGGTTGGGTCAGCGCCATTTTCCCAATGGGGCGACGATCCCACAAACAACGAAACAGACGATACGATTCCGGTTCTTCTTCGACGACTAACCTCTATGACCAACAACAAATTCCTTATCCTTGGCAGGAACATCCAAATTTTGTCACTGGATAAACATCTTTGTGGTCAAACAACCAACAAAATGTAAACGGTGATGACGCACCCAACATCACCAAATTATCACCACCCTTCCGTGCTTCCTCCCCCTTTCCTCTGCTTCACTTTTTTTTTTTTTTTTTTTTTTATTTTNTTATTGATAATTGTAGGTAATATAACATAGTAGCTTAATATAAAAATATGGGGCCTATAATATATGTATATAAAATATGAGTACATTATAATTAAGCACATTAATACATTAATACATTATAAGCCCCATATATATATATATATGGGACTTATAATGTATTAATATGATAACCAGGTTTGTCATATTTTAAATTCTAAACCTCTAAACATAATATTTTAAAAACATAAGATAACATACAGGCTTGATTATCATACATTATAGCCCCATAGTTTTTTGATAACTGTAGTTAGTTATATTATAAAAATCAATAGCAGGATGTGCTTTAAATAGACATCATATTATTGATCTTTAAATATCTCAACAGTACGATTTATCATCAAAAAAATATATTTTTCATGATAAATGTAGATCTATTTGATGCATGATTATAAATAAAACGCTCAGAATTTATAGCTTATCAGATTAAAATTGTGTATAAAAGAAAAACATATTTCTTCAGTTTTTTCGTCTTTATATCAGAAATAATTATTGATTGACTGTACATTTGGTAAAGCTTAGTACAGATGTATAATTAAAAATCATATATTATTTTACTATCATTACAAAGCTTTGATAAGTAGGCATTAAGAATAATGTAAAATATCATTTATAAATTAGGTTAGAATTAAGTTAAAATGTATGTTATATCCTTTTAATTTAACAAAGTAGAAACAGTTGTATAATAAAAGGATGCTCTATTTCAGGATCCACAAAAATAGCTCTAAAGGATTATTGCCGGGTAGTAATTTATCCAATCCCACATATTATTATTAGAAGGGGTTCTACACATGTCTTTTATTACCAAAAGTAACTTGAATGGGCCCGAACTTTAACAGAAAACTGATTTAGAATCACAATATTTACGAAAATTCATGAATGAATTACAACTTTAATTATTAAATGATAATTTACTACGACGTTTTTCATATGGGATTTTAAAAGACATCGTAGTAACATTAATTAAAAGTCGAATTTCTTCTACAATCAAACAATGACAACATATCTTAACGGTCTTAAAAGCGTGGGAAGATAGGTCCTTTGATAAAAATGTTATAATACTAATTATGTCTTTATTAAAATGAATGTTTTTCTTTGATAGCATTATTAATAATCTTAAATGAATAAGTCGGATTTTGTATACTCGTTTGCAACTTGTATTTGTAGCTTTTATCTCACGAAAACGTGATGGATTAATAGGCTAAATGTCTTGTATTTAAAGTGTTTTATGATTGATAGACTAGCTATAGGCTTATTTTTAGCAGTGTTTTTATTTCCAAAATTGGTAGCGGATGAAAAATGTCATTTCTATAAGCGAAACTACTTATAATTATATATTATTTTTCAAAAATAACATTTCTATAATTCATCGGAAATAAATTTATATGCTCTTTGATAGCAAATAAAGAGCTTTATTAACATTTTATACTCCAATTCTAAGTAAATGCAATAATATTTTTATATTCTTTAACGATTTTTCAGGAAAAAATTTTTTTAGAAGCTACACTTTATTGATGTGCTGCAATTTATAGTTTTAATTGAAGAATCTGAAATAGGAACATTATTTTAAATATATAATTTTTTAATTTTAAATTATAATCTAATTAAAAATTGAATTTTCTTAAATACAGCTTGCCTAATTATTTTAAACGAGTGACATTAATGCAACTTATACTTTTATACTATTATTGAGAAGGTTAATCAGGCAATTAATAGATAAATTTCATGCTACTTTATAGAAAATTGATTAAATTATATATATATATATATATTATTCGATTTTTACTAGTATAAAAACAGAAATCCGTCCTCAGTATCCTACTTCTTAGATTTAATCTAATATTGACGCAAAAATCAATTTAATAGAAAAGATGAAAAGTCTTCTATCAGCAAACTTATTCTTAAAATAAAAAAAAAAATTGACTTTTGTAAACTGAT